TCTACAAAAATAAAAACAAAATAAAAATGATATATATATATATATATATATAAAATAATAATAAATTAATGATAAATTAAAATAATATACATAACATTTTTGTTTTTTTTTATATATATATATATGTACTTATCGAGTAAGAGTTAGAGAAGAATTAGAAAGAGTTGGTAAATACAAAATTCTGAGATAAGAATAATCAAGGTGTATTTTAAAACTGGCCAATCTGGAAAAGAGTAAAGTGCGAGTTCGTAAATAATGAACACGAATAGCAAGCGCACGTGTATATGCGATAGCTCGGAGTCTTCCCTGTAATAAGCTTGGAATTTACAAGCGTTGAACGTTTCTTATTCTCGAGTCTCTCTCTCTCTCTTTCTGTCTGTCTTTCTCTCTCTCTCTCTCTGTTTCTATCTTTCTATACTATATCTACCAACTAACTCCGGTCAGAGCTAAATCGCTAACCTTGACCGAAGAAGACCTTCTTTTTGTACATTTAGCAAAATGCATATATTTTCTTCTTCCCTTTTGCATATATCTTATTCTTATTCTTATTTTTATTATATACCTTCCTTCTTTCCTGTTTCTCTATCTTTCTCTCTCTCTCTCTCTCTCTCTCTCTCTTTTTTCTCCCCGAGATCGTGGGAATAAGTTCGTTCAAGGAAGGAAAAAAAATATAAGAAAAAAAAAATATATATATATATACACGTATATATATATATATATTTGTATGAGCTAAAAAAAAGGAGAAGGAAGGAAGTAAACAAAAAAAAAAAAAATATATATATATATGGAAGAATAAAAAGGAAGGAGAATCATTAAAAAAAAAAGCCTTAATCTACTTAAAACCAGTCTTTTAATGACCGTTTCGGAATTTAATATCAACCTACTCGTTAGATAATCCTTATCGAATTAATTGAAGGACTATGAACGACGCACGATCCTTGCTGTTAATCAATATATATATACATATATATATATTTATACGTAAGTTTGTATGTATGTATTTAAGTAAGTATATATGCATGTACGTAAAAGAAAACCGGATTCGTTTCCCCTTATCAAATGGTGAACACGTTAATAGAGTCAAGATTCCTATAAATATATATATACGTATATACGTAAGTACGCGTATACCTACATACATATATATATTATGTGTGTGTGTGTATGTATACACGAGCAAGGTTAAGGTTATTATAAATCGAACGTGTAATTAAATGAACGAGATATCTTTTGAAAAAAAAAAAAAAAAAGAAAAAAAGAAAAAACAAAGAAGAAAACCGGAACTTATATTTTTTCTTTACCGATCGTCATCCTATCTAACGCATACACACACACACACACACACACATATGTACATACCGCTATCGTTAATTGATTCGTATAAAATAAATAATCTAGCTATGAAACGAAAATGGCGATTAATTATTTTAAATAATTAACAATCAATATTATTACGTATAATATAATATATATACATATATTTTATTTAATTCATAAAATTCGCGGGTCTTTGAAATATATCGAAAATTATAACGATATGTTATATTGTATGTATGTACGTGTTCGCAAATCGATTCGGCAAACGGCATGAGTCGACGAGAAGAAGAAAAAGAAGAAGAAGTAGAAGAAGTGAGGAAGTAAGAGAAGAGAAGGAGGAGGAGGAGGAGGAAGAGGACGACGACGATAATGGAAAAGAGGGGTAAAAAAGAAGACAAGACTGTGGCACTCAAAGGTAGAAACTGAAAATCGACGCAACGATTACACCAAAAGCTGATGCACGCTCTCTCGAAGGGGTCAATATCGATCCAAACCACCTCGTTCTTCCTTTTGTATCTTTTCTCTCTCTCTCTCTCTCTCTATTTCTATATATATTTCTATATGTATATATTTTTCTCTCTCTCACACACACGAACAAACTCTATGTTTTTATCTCTCTCTCTCTTATTTCATCACGTTTTACCACACGCGGTATGTAAATATTGTTGCAGATAGAAAATAAATGTTTGTTATACGATCCCAATCGAATAATATTTTACTTACGTAGGGCCATCATATCACACACGAGGGGTAGTGGGTTGAGGGTGGTTGAGGAATGGTTAGTCGTCGTCGTCGTCGTCGTCGTCGTCGTCGTCGTCGTCGTCGTCGTCGTCGTCGTCGTCGTCGTCGTTGTCGTCGTCGTCGTCGTGAAATTTAGTTTACTAAGCGACGAATATCTATCTTGTTAATTCTTCTTTAGCCGGCGATCAAGTATCGTCGTAACTGATGAAAGAGTTTAAATGGTAATCGTGAACGTAACCCCATCGCATGATGATTATCGAAAAAATAAAACGACGCTGGACGCTCGTTTTTTATTCGACACTATTATTTTGCACGCGCACCTCGCGACGGCCTGGTGCGCGAGGAAACTGGCCGAAGCTTTTCCTTTCTTATTTCTTTTTCAACCCTCTGAAAACCACCCTCTTACCACCGTCTCTATGACACCGCCCAACCCTTAGTCGAAGACTCCGAGATATTAACTTTCACGGGGATGTCGCTAACGCTCGGCTCCTATCCTAGACACTCTCTCTCTCTCTCTCTCTCTCTAACTATTTCTCTCTTTCTCTTTCTGTCTGTGCCTCTATCTTTTTCTCTCTCTCTTTCTCTCTCTATCTCTCTATTTATCTCTTTATCCCTGTCGGTCTATGCGACTTTACCATTCGAGGTTTATCACGAGATTTACCATTCGAGAAAGACATTTGTTCAATGATCTTTCTTTATTTTATTCAGAGTTTACCTCATGTCGATAAATTAGTAATTCACTGTCGATAAATTAGTAATTCACTGTCGATAAATTAGTAATTCGCTGTTGATAAGGTAGTCGTTTACCGACGATGTTTTTCTTCTTTATCGATAAAACAAATTTGGTCTTAATCCAAGTTCATTCATTAAAAATCGATGAATGGAAAATTTTATTTATATATTATTTCATATTTTAAATTATTTTTACGTATATTATTTTGTAACTGTATATTTATTCATTTATATTAAATAATACGCGCGTTGAGATCATCTTTTTTTCTTTTTTTTTTTTATATCAGTGTACACCCTTTCGATTTTATTTCTAATAATTATTTTATTATTTATTTCTTCTTCTCTCTTTCTCGTTCTCACTCTCTCTCTCTCCTCTCTCTCTCTCTCTCTCTCTCCCTCTCTCTCACTCTCTCTTTCTCGTGACAAATACGAAATATTAAATTCAATGTCGTATAAATTTATATTGATAATACATTATAGACTTGTAAGTAATGCGCATGCGTACGATTTGTTCTAGTATGAAAAATTATCAATTCAACTCCGTTCTATTCGATCGTCAATATTAACCTGCGCATTGACTTCTCATTCTTGGATATAGACGCGCATTTCACAGCGACTGGCTCGTACGAACCAATGGAGTGTAACTTAGACCCCTCCCCCATTTATCTAGAATATAGGTATATATATATAAATACATACATATATATATATATATATATATATATATATGTTGTGTGTGGGTGTATGCGCTCGCGTCAACGAAGTAGGGATTATTCTAAATAATAAATAATAATTAATCCCGATGCAAATTTCCACGTAATATCCAATTATTATTATTAAATAGAACTGTCGTCAATTTAATCGATGAAAGTTAATAACTTAATTTCATTATAATAAACGTATCCTAATCGAGATTAGATTTAGTGTTAACAGGCGTGGTTTGACACGCGTTACCCTTTCTAATAGAACAGATCGATGTTCGTAATATCGAAATTGTTAATTATATCGTAAAAATTGTAAAACATTGATAAAAAATAATAACCATTACGTATTTTAATTATTATATAATACAAACTATTATATAAATAAATATAAATTATTATCTAACAATTAATTATATATATTTTATTTAATTGAAATTAATAATCTATCCACAGATTAATGATCTATCGTGTATATATATATATGGACGTAGAACGACGTGTTCTCTTTGACATTAGTATAAAAATTGTTGGCATCAAATCTCCATAGAAAGACGTCTTAATTTATTCATTAGTAATACGATCGATATATACTAGTCTTTTTTCGTCGACACGTATCATCGCATAAAACAACTTTTCTTTATCGTCGAAAAGTTAACCTTGTTCTTTTACTTTTTCTCTCTCTCTCTCAATGTCCCCCACCATCTACTTCCTCCCTTACCTCATTCTCGTCTTACTCTTGTTTCAATGTATACACACAATAATTCCATTGCATGGACCAATCCTTTTCTTTTTACGAAAACAACAGAATCAATGAAACTGTCAATCTCTCTCTCTCTCTCTCTCTCTCTCTCTCTCTTTCTCTCTCTCTATTTGCTCGCAATTACGATCGTAAAAGAACTTTCGACGATAAGTCCACGGATAAGTTTTACTTTATCTATTGTAAACGAAAAAAAAAGAACACACGACGTTGGACAAAGAGAGAGAGAGAGAGAGAGAGAGGGAGAGGGAGAGAGATTAGAAATTATACTTATATCTTCGAGGATACAAATTATTTCGTAGACACATTACGACAGGAAGAACGTGAAAGTCTTTCGAACTTTAGCCGAACGAAAAAGTAACCAAAGGTAACCATTATGTTCGAGTAATATTAAGAAGAAGGGATGAGAAGGGGAAAGGGTTGGAAAGTTAGGGGTATATATGATGCAAGGGTTAGCACGAAGGTACAACTCGAATCGCGCAGGTGCAAAATTCCGTTTCACCTTCCATCGGACTATCTTCGATGGGTTGATTTTTTTTCTTCGGATGGATCCAAAGAGTCAGTGCCTAACTGTGTCGGTTCTTCGCGGTTTTGCCTTTTGATATAATAAATTTGAATAACGAAAAAGAAAGAAAAAAAGAAAGCAAAAACGAATCGTAAAGAAGAAGATGAAAAAAAGAGATAATATATTTTCGAATGTAAGAACGTCGACGAAAGAGAGAAAAATTTCTCGCGTGTATATCGAGAAAATGTCGGACGAGGTGTCGTCGTCGTTCGGTAAAAACGTGATAGCGATGAATATATTTTTATTAAAATTCTGCGGCATATTGCCAATAGAAACAACGTTTATTATAAATCTCGATTGGACAAATTTACTCGCTGGAATATCTTTCATCTCATTGTCGACATATTCCGTTTCTTATAGTTACGAATTCGTCGAACATATGTCGAACGCCGATACAGCATTAGAATTTTTCTCAATGATAATATCCTTAATAGGTGGTCAAGCACGTTACGTGATATTATTTATTAAACGTAAGAAATTTCGTAATATGTTGAAATTATGCGAAAGATTATGGAGATCATTGGATAATGACGAAAGATCTTACGTTATCATTTATACGAATAAAACGAAACGTTTGACGTATTATTATTTGTTCGGTTGCGCCTTTACCATTTTTTTTTACGCCATTGCAAGTTTATTCATATCGACGTCCATTACGAATGGCAACGAAACGTCGATAAGAAATTTGCCTTATGCATTTTTAATCGATATACACGAATCGCCTTACTTCGAGATAGCATATGTTTATCAATTAACTACAATGATCAATGTTGGTTTGACATGCGTCGGTATCGACACAGTTGGACCAGTTATGATACTCATTGCCTGCGGACATCTTAAAGTAATACAAAATAAAATGTCGTCATTGATGGAAGAAACGAAATCTATTAATATTGAACGTGACTACGATGAATTTTATATTTATCAAAATGTCAAGATTAAACTCGACGATTATATTAATTATCACGGCACCGTACTCGAGTAAGTAAAATAATTTTTATATTTAATCTTATAGCTCGATGAAGTATATAAAAATATTTGTATATTCATTCGATCGGTATTTTTTAATTGATCAATAATAATTCATTGTTATTTCTGTTGTCAAATGAATGGATCGACATTTATTATAATTTATATATACATATTTATATATATATATATATATATATATATATGTATGTATGTATGTGTATCAATATGTAATATAAATGATAAATATAAATAATTAAATGTAAGGAGTTGTGTGTCGAATAAGATGAAAAAAATAATTTTGTTTCGAAAAATATTTGCAGATTTTTTCCATCAAAACAATGTAATAATATTGATCGTATTATTGATATCGCTGATATGTTTAATTATAAATATCGATTATTTCGTACAAAACGTCAATTAAAAATTTTTACAAATACTGATCCAATGAATAATCTATCTAATGATTTATCTATTTAAAAAAAATATTTTAAAACGTTTACATAGATTTTGTAAGGACATCGAGGAACTGGCTAACGTCATTTTCATCACACAATTGATCGGCAGCACTTACAACATATCTCTAGTTGGTTTTAAATTAGCTGGGGTAAGGTGGTCTCTCTCTCGATTTTCATGAATAAAAATCTATTCGAAAAATAGACCACCCATTGCCTTCTTCCCCACCATCATCCACTACCACCACCACTATCATTGCCACCACCACCACCACCACCACCACCACCACCACCATCACCATCCGTAAATTACGTTTATGGATCGTTGCAGGACGACCCCGATAAGTACAAATATACGACACAGGTATTGATTGCAGTAATACAACTCTTTCTCTGCAATTGGCCACCCGACGTATTGCTCTTTGAGGTTTTGTAACTTTTTGATTATTGTTTTTCTTTCCTTCACTATCATAATTATAAATAAATTAAAAAAAGAGAAACATATTATAGCATAGGTTTGATCCTATCCACGCTTAATTCGTTTCATATCTATTACGTATATAATTATTTCTTTTTTATATTTATTTTTTATTTATTTATTTTATTTATTTATTTATTTATTTATTTATTTATTTATTTATTTTTGTAGACCACAGCAGTGGCCAATTCAACTTATTCGACACCATGGTACATGTATCCGAAGGAATTGAAAAGATCCATTTATATTATTATTATAAGATCACAAAGGGCCGTACGTTTGACTGCTGGCAAATTCGCATATCTATCTTTGGAAACATTCGCTTCTGTAAGTAATAAAAAACAAAAAAAAAAAAGAGAAAAAAGAAGAGGGAGAGAGAGAGAGAAGAAAAAAAAGAAGGAAAAAAAAAGTGAAAAAACTCTTCTCCATATCTAAATCACGATCGAAATTTGAACGCAATTATTTCTAAGCTTTGTTCTTTTTTTCTATTTTTGGTTTTCTCCGTTTCTTTTTTTTCTTGTTTCTTTTTGTTTTCAGATGATCTCAACAGCTGCGTCATTCTTCACCATGATAAGAAGCATGAATTGATCTCGAGAGTATATGAATTTAATCTCGAGTATGATTTATTCTTGTCTTGCGTCTTTTTTTTTTATTTCTTTCTTGTTTTTAAACTATTATTCTTTTTTTTTTCTTTTTCTTTATTTCTTCTTTCTTCTTTATTTTCTTTATATATTTATTCATTTATTAGACAAAGAGAGATTGAATAAAATAACGAGATACTTATTTATTCTCTTGTAATTTGATTATTTCATTTTTCTTTTTCTTTTTCTTTTTTTTAAATTTTATATTTGCTCGTGTAAACGATATGAAAGGTTTACAAAGAGAATAGTTGATAATGATTATCAAAAAAAAAGAGAGAGAGAAAGAGAGAGAGAGAGAGAAAGGCTTTTTGTGTAGCACTTGACTTGAGTCGAGCATCGATCATTTTCCTTTTACTTTTTTTTTTCTCTTTTTCTTTTTTTTCTCTCTTAAGGAGAAGGGAAAGAGAGATCTTCCTGTGTCCCTTTCTCTTTTTCAATTTCTATTTCATTCCTCTCTCGTGATTCATATACTATTATACTATAATACTTTTTAATTCATTATGCGAATTCATAATACGAACACGTACAAAAATGAATGAATGATCGAGAAGAACGACTTTTTTCATATTTTCGAGGGATACGATCGCATTGAAAAAAAAAAAAGAAAAAAAAAGAAAAAAAAAGAGAGAAGCAAAAAATAAAAAGAGAAAAAGGGAGCAAAAAAGATAGGAAAAAAAAGATAAAGAAAAAAGAAGAGAGAGAAAGAGAGAGGAGAGGGAGAAAAAAGAAAAAGAGAAAGAAGAAGAAGAAGAAGAGGAAGAAGAAAGAAAGAAAGAAAGAAAGAAAGAAAGAAAGAAAGAAAGAAAGAAAAGAAACTCTATTTTTCAGAAAAGGAAATCCATAATTATTGGCTGAAAGGATAGAAGGCCACGTTTCTTGAGAAGTTGCTTGCTTCGATCATTAGGGACACCGATATCGAAAAGATTCCTATTGGCCTAGCTATCGATGATCACGTTCTATCTCTCTCTCTCTCTCTTTCTCTTTCTCCTTCCCTCTCTCTCTCTTTCTCTCTCTCTCTCTAAATCTTTTCTTAATACTCTCAAAAGACCACGCGATGTGATTAATCCGATGAAAATTTTCTTAGCTAAAGTTACGTTCTAATAATCACCGTCAAAGGATTAGAACGAATATAACCCGGTTACCTTGATTGGTTTTTACATACATATCTGAGTGATAAATAAATAAGTAAGTAAGTAAATAAGTAAGTAAGTACTTAGATTTTTAATGTATCGAGAAAACAAAATCGTGAATAGTTTTAGCCCACATACATAAATACATAAATATATAAATACAATATACGTAATATACATAGATAGATACGTACATATATACATAGGTATATACATATGTACGTATGTGTGTACACGTAAATAGTACTGTGAGAAAAAAAAAGAAGAAAGAAGAGTGATATCACCTATACGTTGATACTATTACGGAAGTGACGACACGGTAAATAAACAATAGCCCACCTATAAACGTTTGAAATCGGGTCGGTGAATATATATATATATATATATATATATATATATATATATATATTTATATAGAAAGGGCCAAGAAGAGAAGGGAGGAAAAACTCATTGCCTTTCATGAGGACGCCCACGAGACGAAGAAAGCTCGTACCAGAGAGACCGATGGTCATTTCTAGATCCCATCCAATTCTTTTGCTAAAGTACTGCTCCGTCTGTTCGGTGGATTATAAATAAAGATGAGAGAAAGAGAGAAAGATAAAGAGAGAATGAGAGAGATAGAGAAGAAGAGAGAGTAAGAAGGATAGAAAATCAGAAAGAGAGTCTGAAAGAGTAAGAGAGAAAAAGAATCAGATAGAGTATGAGAGAAAGAGAATCAAACAGAAAGAGAGACATAGAGAGAAAAAGAGAGAGAGAGAGAGAGAGAGAGAGGAGAGAGAGGAGAGAGAGAAATAGACTAAGGACAGGTGGATAGAACCTATTGAATTTTTTGATAGATCGTCTACTACTGCCTATCTTCCAAGTACAGAATATTGTTCTTCCAAAAATCAAATTCGATTAATACCAGACCCTTTGGACTTTCCTTTGAATTCGAAAATAAATCGAGAGAGATAGAGTGATATAAATAGATAAATAGATAGATAGATAGATAGATAGATAGATAGAGAGAGAGAAATAGATAAAGAGGAAAAATTCTTTTATCGTTCTTGAAGCTTTCTGAATTTTTCTAAGACCGATTTCGTTACCACTCAAAAGGATAAGAGATCCGGCGAAACGAATCGTAGACATCCCCGTTTTAGTATCTCTTTCTTTTTCTCTCTTTTTCTTTTCCTTTCTCTCTTTTTTTTTCTCTTCGGCAATTACAGGATAAGTGAGTTCTCCTGTAATCTTGCTATATTTGCCGCGATCCGTCTGAAACCTTCTCGTATAGTTCACGCCACACTAATATTTCTTTCCTTTTCTAACATCAAACACTCGATTTCACCAAATGCACGCACACATACACACAAACGCGCGAGAATATATATATATATCGAATTGATCTTAGCTAGATCAACGATCTCGTATAACCATATACACTTCGAATCAATCATCAATACTTACTTACTTACTTACTTACTTACTTACTTATTAGTATTAGTGAATCTTTTTTTCCCTCTTCGAGAAAGAAAAAAAAAAAGAATTAATCGATCCGTACGATAATACTATTCACATAATAATAACGCTAATTCCCTTGGAATCCTAAAATGAGGTTATTATCGAGGTTCAAAGTTTAAGTTAAAAAAAAATTTCCAACCGAATGATATCGTGTCATGAACAATCGCGTACTTCTCCATCGAGAAAATATTCGAATTTGAAAATAAAGAAAGAAGGAAAAACGATAATGACGTGAGATAGTGAGTGATAAAGAGAGAAAGAAAGAGAAAGAGAGAGATACAAGAAAAAAAGAGAAAAGAGAGAAGAATAGCGATTCGCTTTGGAATTAATTGCAAGGGATGAGGGATCGAGGTGGGAGGAGAGTGGTTGCGTCTGGGTTGCCGAGAAGAGTGTCGGCTGCCACGAACAGCCCTTCAGAAGGGCTGCTGGAAGGATGAATGAGAGGAAACGAAAGAGAGAGAGAGAGAGACAAACAGACAGACAAACTCAGTTATATATATACATATATATATATATACATACGTTTGTGTACGCGTGTGTGTGTATATATATATATACAGGGTGTCTCACACAATTCTAAACAGGCTATATTTTCTAGACAGTTAAAAATAGATAAAAATATTATAAGCCAAAGTAAAATTGTATCACGCAATTGCACGATATGCAAATAATTTAATGCACTTTTGTTCGATCGGTAAAATCCAAAAAATGCGACTGCATCTATTCTTTTTTCAATATTATAATTTATATTTTCAAACGCATCACAGGTTTTTTCTTTTATACTCTAGATGAAAGTATTAACTCAATTATACCCCTAAAAACTTATACGTTTAAGGAAGTTATCGTAAGTGAAATTTTTTTCAAATTTATTTTAAGCTTGTCGTTGAGTTGTCTAATGAACGGTATAATAACATTCCGACATTAAAGAGCCCATCAAAGTGGTCCAGCGAAGGGTATATGCGTTCCCGTTGAAAAGGAAGGAAAAGAAAAGAAAAAAAAAAGTGCAGTTGCATTTCTCTGACACACACTCTTCTATACGCAAAAGTATATAAAATTTATTTTACCCTATTACACATCGTTCAAATATAATTTAACTTTAATTAATAACATTATTTTCTATATTCAATCGTTCAAAGGATACACCCTGTTCCAGTTACATGAGACACCCTATATATATATATATATAGTTCTCTCGATGCGGTTCGCACAATAAAGAAATTCCGCGATCCAAAGGCATAGGTGATGATAGTGGCACACGCGACCCAAAGAAGAAGGTTAAAGGGGCAAAGAGGGGAGGGGCAAAAGTAGGAGTAGGGTTTAGAAGTAGGAATAGGAGAGCGAGATGATGGGTGGGGGGTGTAGGAATAAGGGGTACGATACGAGAAACGGGGGTAAATGGGGGTAGGGGAATAGCTGCCGATGTCGAACGAACAGGAACGAAAGGAGGATTCTTTCCTCTTTGCCCGACATCTTCGACGAACTTCTCGACCATGGAAGAGAGAAGCTCCCGGAGATCCTCGAGAGTTAATGAAATCTATTTTGCCTGCTGACTCCTTCTAACCCCCGAGAGAAGAAATCTTCTTCCCTTTTGAAATGGCACGATGCCCGTCTTCGATATTCACTATTCGTTCTTTCATTTTATTTTTATTTTCCTGTTTTCCTTCTTCTTCTTTTTTTTTTTTCTTTCTTTCTTACCCTCCATTTTTCTCCCTTTCTCTCTCTCTCACTTTCTGGCTTTTTCACTTCTTTTTTTTTTCCTTTTTTTTCTTTTTTGTTTCATTTTTTCCTTCCTCTATCCCTTACACTCCGTTCCATCCCATACCAGTCAGAATCAACATCCAACCTTCTTTCCTTTTATATATATACATACATACATACATATATATATATATTTTTTTTTTAATTATATTTTAGTTTCAAGACAATTATAATTAAATAAAATGATCTTATTATAAAGAGAAAAAGAAAAAGGGAAGAAACGAAAGATAAAGCAAATTAGAAAGCACAAGAGAGAGAGAGAGAGAGTGAGAGAGTCGATCGTCGGTTTGACAAACGCATCGTTGTCATAACAACGAGGAGGTTGAGATAAACAAACAGAATCGTCGTCAGTCGTACTCGTAATTACCATTATCACCATTATCTCTCCCATTTTATCTTCGTAGGAAAAGAAAGAAAGGACATAGGATACGATAGGAATGAAAATTTTCTAGTTAAAGTTCTTCCATTATATCGGATTTGGACGATGACCATCGAAATAGAGATGACCATAGAAGAGATTTACATATCGAGTTATCAAACCAACCCCCTGTCTGGGGGACAT